GTAAATATATGCCAGCTCTAAGCCTGGTTTATTTTTATTGTTACTTAAATGTGCAATGGGTTTTTACACTAGAAACTGAATTCATTTTGGTTAGGCCTTGGCCCTGCTCATCCATTCCCGTCAGTCTGGCATTGCTGCCAATGCTTGTGCTGATGGCAGTCTCCAATGCTGGGGCTGGCTGTGTAGAGCTTTCATAGTATAAAAAATATACCATTGCCTGCCACCTGAAGGGAAGCTCCAGCCCTGCTCTCTTAATTTAGACGGGCTGTGACTTCTCACCTTTCTTACCTTCTGAACCACTGGTGGTCAGTCTCCCTGCAATGGGTACGCGCTCCTGTTCCTTGCTGTCTCCTGTACATAAAGTGCAGTCAGCTGAAAATTAAGGCAACAGCTCAGTGGGTGACACAGTAACCTTGAGAGTTAGTCTTCGTGTGTGCTTGCAAGCCCTACATCATCCCTGGTTGGAGGAGATGCTGAGGCTGTATTTTAACTGGGAACTGCATTTAACATTCACCAGGTAATCTCATCAGTTTTTAAATTCTACACAAATAACTCAGTCAGACTCAATGTCTATTTAGATCAGTTGGAAGTGAAAAACTATCAGCAATACCCAATTTGTAAGAGAGTAAGGCTAGGTACTAAGGGGCTGTTGTGAAGATTTTAACTCTGCTGAGGGCAGGAGTCAGGATGTTGACTCTATAACCATGGGCTGCATCTGGAACAGCAGAGCTGAGGAAAAAGATGGTGTCAAAAGTTAAATGTCTGCAGGTTTTCTACAGCAGGAAAACAGGTTGGTACCTGCTTTTCCAGGCCCTTGCCCCACCACCAAGAGGAAGGAACACCTGTGGCCAAGTGCTCATCACCCACCTGAAGGCCTGTGGCAAGGATGCCTCCATCTCTGTCACATACCTCGAGACTGAACATGCTGTAGTGAGGGTCTGTCACCACCTGCCCACAGGAGCCAGCCAACAGGAATGGGCTCAAACATCCCTGTTTCCTTGCAGAAGTCTAGCAGTGGTCCTTGTGACTGTCTTCCATGAAACTGATAATAAAGACTCGCCTTTGCAAACAGTAAATACGTATTTATATACACACACACAGTATACAATACTGTGATGTCCACCAGAGAGCAAATAAGCCTTCAAAGCAAGGGAGATGACAGTTGGCTGGTAGCAACACACCTAGGGGCAGGGGAACAACCAAAACAGCCCTTTCATCCACAAGCAGAGCTGTGAAATAAGCTGATGTTTCCACGGAAGTTCACCGATGTCTGCACCAGACCGAGCAGATCCAGGACACCAGTCTTCCCTTTGCTCTTCATCAGGACTGTTACACAGGTGATGCAGGATGGTGCAACCATAAAAACTGACTGCTTCACTGGACTGACTGTATGTTAAACCAGAGGGAGCTCAGAGCTGCTTCAGCA